CGCGAGCAGGGTGGGGGTCCGGACAGTGCCGGATTAACCATTAAGCAAACTAAGCACGTGCATGCTTAGGGCACCAGGGCCAAAGGGGGCACCACAAAGTTGGCAAAAGGGTGAAAAGAAAAAAAAACGAATAAAGATTTGTACTTCCCAGATGTACCACAAGGGGCCCCCAACAATACAATACAATACAAGGGGCCCCTAATGCCACCCAACAAGGTGCTAATTCCCAATTATCAGAAAGTGAAAGGTACTCAGACTTGTCAGACACTCATTGATGCTTATCCAGATGACATGAACAACACTTTGTCTACAGCTTTGTCTACTTTGTCTACACTTTGTCTACAGCTTGAACTACACTTTTTCTAGAGCTTCAGCAGTTCCATTCATATGTTCTTCATAAGTTTAAAACAACCAAGAAAACATCTTGCACTCACATGGAACTTTACAACACAATTACAGAAGACAAACTAGAGAGTGCTTTTCCAAATGTGGAAATTGCCTTAAGAATATTTTTAACATTAAATTAATGGTCACCAACTGCACAACAGAGAGGTCTTTCTTACAACTGAAACGTGTAAAAAAAAACAAATAGATTGACTCGTAGTCAGAATGAAGGTGTACGCTCAAAATTGCCTTAAATACCATCTCCTGCGATCTACATTTTAAAAAATTTCTGGGGGAGGACCCCCATACCCCCCGCCTGTTTATCACCACCCTCCTTGAAATCCGACATAAATTTTTGTACTGCAGCAACCTGCATTGTATATTATTTGGTCAGACAGATCAACAACTAAAATGGACTGGGTCAGTGTGGAAAGAAGGGGGCACCAAGATTGGTCAGTGCTTAGGGCACCAGTGAGCCTTAATCCGCCCCTGAGTATAAGAGAAGAGAGTTGAAGTCAGTATAGGTAGATGGGGATGGTAGGCCTACTGTACTGTTTGGTTGCTGGGAGACAGGTTGGAATCCCATTGATTAATTAATATTTCTAGGGATTTTCTGCGCTATCCAAGTAACCGAGTAACGTTAGAACGTTAGAAATTACAATTTAAAATAAAATTCAAAACAATTTTTGCGGTAGAATCATCCACGAGTGTAAATTATTTTTAGTTTTGTTTTTCATTTTATTATGGCAATTTCCAATATTTCTAGTATTTTTCTGCGCTATCGAACGCAGTATAACGCAGAGTAACAGAATAATATTAGGACGTTAGAAATTACAATATTTAATAAAACAATAAAATCGAAAAGAAGAGCTTTGTTCTTTTACTAGGCACCAGATGGCAGCACCGATGCTTACGGGGTATCCATCGTCGTTACTTGAGTTGATGTTATTGTCTTGTTGCTTTAAAGTTCTTTCGAATTAATTCACTCGCTTGATTATACATATTTAATGAATTGGCGGGTTCTTTACTCAAGCCAGTAGCTGTTGCTGTATGTAAAGTGTACGTGCGAAGTTCAAAACGCGAATATTTTCTGTGTTTTCAACGCCAACGGTTTATTGTTCACGACCCTGCCACAGGCACTTGGACCGTTTCAATAATAAAATGATGGTTAATAAATACAACTTGTCAGTACTAATACAGTACCAGCAATAGTCTTAATGTTTGATTTGACCTAATAACTTCACTTCAACACTGTCCAATACACCGCTGCAACACATAGCCCGCACGCCATTGTGCATGCACAAATACACAGTAGGTTAGAGTGCATACACAAATACACTCTAACCTACTGTGTATTTGTGCATGCACAATGGCGTGCGGGCTATGTGTTGCAGCGGTGTATTGGACGGTGTTGAAGTGAAGTTATTAGGTCAAATCAAACATTAAGACTATTGCTGGTACTGGTACTGGTAGGGCTAGTAGTAGTACTGACAAGTTGTATTTATTAACCATCATTTTATTATTGAAGGGGTCCAAGTGCCTGTGGACACTGCTGCCTTTCCCTTGTTCGCCACAGCGTGTGGCGAACAAGGGCTAGCGTACTACTACTACTATTAGTACTAGTAGTACTACTAGAGCTAAATGTTACTACTACTAATACCTACCTATTATTACTGATAATTCTCTGTAAATGTTGTTCAAATGCTTCTTTGCAACGCACAAATACAACGTACGCGCCGCTGCCAATTTAGAGCAATGGTTCACATTGGAATGACACATGCGTCTAAACAGTAGTTAACCTGTATGATACAGGCGGTTCTGGTTCCGCTTCACTACACTAACCGCCTGTACCCCTTGCTTCTTCAGCCCGCTTCGCGAACCAAGAAATCATTGCGCCCAATCAGAGAGCTGTAACGGGCCAATCAGCCAATCAGCGAGCAGGCTTTTGCCTGACGTCTTTCTCAAGTTATTCAAGTTGAATTTTATAACTGCAATTAGCGCACGCTTCTGCCAAAGCCATTAAACTAGATTGTTTCCATTCATCAGGTATTCGCCTGTGGGCGAAGTTTTGCCGTATTTACTTCTCTGTACGCTCGATTGCTCGCCGCTAATCAGATCCCCGCCATAACAAGCGGCTCGATCGATAACGAAGTGTCTGCGAACCGCCAGGGTTGAGTCGCGTATAGGAGGCGTTAGTGTAGTGAAGCGGAACATACCGCCTGTATCATACAGGTTATCTAAACAGAGGAATTGCTCCGACCTGTGATTGGAGGATAAAAATAGAATTCGTGACGTTTCGTTTTTCATTTTGCATACCCTGCCGCATACGCTATTACGCTATGACCGGTAGGAAAGTGTACTGACTATAATATGGCGCGAACGATTTGAGTTACATTTCTATAAATTCTAGCTATTATAGACAGATGTCTTAGGCCTTATGTCTGTGAATTTTTGAGTCTATTGAAGCACGATTAGTCTAATTAATTAGCAAATGCTACTGCGCGTATTGCTCATACTCATAGGCTAATATACGCGCGCTATGGCGTAGGAATGTGTACTAACTATCATATGGCACAAACGATTTGAGTTATGTACATTGCTTTAAATTCTAGCTATTAGTATTATAGACATGTCTTAGCTATGATCCCTGTGAGTCTTGAATTTATTGAAGGGCGATTAGCTAATTAATTAGCAAACATGTACCGCGCGGTATCGCTCATACTCGAGTCATAAGCGCTAAATGCCAAATTGAAAACGAAACGTCACAAATTCTATTTTTATCTCCAATTACGGGTAGTCAATCATTTAAGTCGGAGGCAATTCCTCTGGTTTAGACGCATGTGGAATGACTCGTAGAGCTCTATGTTTGCTGGGTCACTGAGGCATAGTTGAAGTTGTTGTTCACTTACGTTGAGTTATCATTGATATACAAAACACAAAACTAAAGCTCTCCTTGTTTTGCACAGGTATCGCAGCGAATCCATGATTTCATCAGAAGGTTTTTCTCAGTTGGATATCCTTGAGGCAAGTTCGTCAGATTGGTAAGCAATAATGGAGGAGCACATGAAGAACGTTGGCTGAGTGTTGAGGCTTCGCCACATGGGTTAAGCACTGTAGACAATCATGGAATCGTCTCAATTTTTTGGCAGTATTTGTGTCCAGCAAAACCCACTAGGAAAAGAGCAGGCAATTAGCAATGAATTGCCTCTGCACTCTCTACTGGAAATCACCATATCGTTAAAGAAGTAAAGGGTGAAGTCACCACTTTTGGGCTAAAAAGCAGATACGGGGATACCCCAAGCGTAGCCAATATCAAATACCAAACTTATTAGTAGCAGGTCGTTATAGTCACCCGCAGCGAATACTTGCAAGAAGGTCTGCCAGACAGAACAATACACGATTATTAGTAACACACAAAGAAGGAGTGCAACATGTTACTACAGTTACGACAGGGAAACGAGCAACAGCGGTCAAGATTCCATTCCACGGCTAATATGCAGTTCACCACCCACGGAGGTGGCTTGTGCCTGTTTCAGATGTATCGCGATGAAAACCACATCGGATCGTAAACATTTTTAAGCCATTATATGAACGTGAGAAACCCTTGTTCGAACCAACCTCTAACCTGACAAAACAATTCATCAGCGCTCTGTACGCTCGCCAGACCGTGCCTCCTTGTCACAGATTGCCGCTCTAATACAGGTCAACCTAGCGTTAAGCCAATGATAGAGCAAAGTAGAACCGTCGCGTAGTTGTTGCTTCTGAACCGTCTGTCTACGCCAATAGATTTCAAACGTTGGCAAATTGTCATCGACTGTTGATGTCAAATCGGAAGTGAACGTACCCCAAATCTCCCAGGAAGGAGCATGGCTCGAGCAGATCGTATGAATTGCCGGGAATTTGCACGGCAAAGTTCCAACAGACATCTGTGACTACAGGGAGCACGAAAAGTCGCATGAATCCACTGTTCAACGCAAATCCTCAGGCTACCGTACTTTGCCTACCTTGTGGACGCAGGTTCAGGTCGAAGCCCAACTCATGGATCACGTGGACGTTGCACGCCAGCCAATGACCGTACGCTTGTGAGAACTGTGGTCGGACGTTTTGCTCCTACAATTTATTCAAGATCACGAACGAATGGATTTTGCGAGTACCAGTGCCCTAGTTTGTCTGAAAGATTGGAACATCGTCACTCCTAGATGAGCACTCACAAAGCTGCCCCGCACGAGTTTCGGTAACAGTAGGCTAGAAGAACAGGCGAAATACGAGAGTACCGGCTGACGAAGATGCGATCACGAAGCAGAAAGGGCGCGAATAGGAAATCGTCTCTCAAAGTTCAAGTTCGCCCCAAGTGTATCGGATCTCGTTACGAAGCGTGCAAAATGCCTGTGGAATCACGAAGATACTAAAACACAACAAATAAGCGAAAGAGGTCAGTGCAGCTCACAGGAAGCATGAGGTAGACGGCGATACTAAAAAGACCAGAAAAAAACAATGATATGCACAATGTGGGCGCAAACCCACGTGCAAATGCGGAATCGGTCGCCGCAACCGCGACCGGTCTCAAGAGCGACGACCAGCCGTTCGGAGGACTCTCTAAGCTGCACCCGCCTCGGACGACGGTTTCCTTCTTTGAGCGACGGACCAGGTCGGCCAGCGCACCCGCCGGGGATGACGCTAGGCAGCGGCGAACGCAGAGTCTGGCCTAGCGCACCGCGACGACAGCTATCAAGCCGACGACCCGGTCGAGTCCTGACTGGAGCCGATTGATGCGCCACCCGCCGACGGACGCTGAAGCCGAACGACCAGAGTATGGATCCTAGCGCACCCTGCTTGTACGGACTCGCGCTGATTGCGCAGGCGACCAGGTCGGGGGCCTAGCCCTCGAACCCTCCGCCGCGACCGACCGCTTAAGCCACCGTCGACTCCGACTCCACGGTTCTTGGCTATGGCCCTAGCGCCACTCTGTCTCCGATATCGCGATATAAAGCGTGACGACCAGGCTTGCGCCCCCTAGCGGCCAAAGAAGCCACACTCACCTCCCCGCTCCCAGAACCAGATGGACACCATAATGCGACCGACGCAGGTATGAGCGACGACCATGCCGTCGACTAAAAAACTGTTCAAGGTCTTAAAGCACGCTCATCTCAGGACAATGAGGAACCAAACAAAGCCTAGTAAAGCCCGACCGGTTCCAACCACCAAAAAACGCGGCTACGGACTCTACTCGCCGCTCGAGCCTCGCTCCAACGGCAAAATCGCATTCCACCCAAAGGCGTTAGCGTGACACAAAGCAGCCGTGAAATTCGAACCCGCAAACAGAATTACCGTTGTCCGAAATGCGTAGCATGGTGTCTTCTCTGAGCTCAGGCAGCTGGGCACTTCGGCTGACATGCCGGTGAAGCCATTGTGCGCTGCAGAGCACCCGCCTGCGGCAGGACAAGACGGACTTAGATCGGTGTCGTATACGCTCTGCCGTGAAGCGGATGCCCCGCTTTGCCTTATTCCCGAGGACGCCCCCTCGCTTGCCATCAGCCCAGCTGATGCCGCGTAGCCGGCCAGACAGCCGTCGCCATGGACACTGTATGCCGCGGAGGGCGCCGCCACAGACGCGGACACGCCCCGTCGACCGCGACGACGCTGAGGACGCCCGTCGGACACGAAAAGCCCAGTTACCCGCAAGAGATGACAAGACCCCCTGTCGACCACAGCGACTCGAGACGCCCGTCCACGCGCAGCGACGCGAGACGCCCGATCGACCTTTGGACGACGGACGAGACGCCCCGTTGACCGCGGCGACTCGATACACCTCGTCGAGCGAGAGAAGAGAGCCTCTGAGAGGCGAAACACGAGGACGCCCCGTTGACCGCGGGCGAACGACGACGAGGAGACGGACCTGAGATCGAGCCCGCGAGAGAGCGCAGGGAGCGCGAGAGAGAACGACGGTCGCCAGTCTCTAACCGCCGACGCACCCGCGGCGCCCGGGGACGCCCCCGCTTCTTTGTATCTCTACCCGCGAGCGAGACCTGCGAGACCTCGGCCTTCGGCGGACTGCGGACGAACCTGTTGGCCGCGGGCGACGCGAGATGCCCGTCGGCCCCGCTTAAACATGGTCATCGTAGGCTGTTAGAACGAAATTGACTGCCGCGAGGCCCGGCGCTGGCCGGCGCACCCGTGGCGGTAGATGTGAGAGCTGAGAGCGCCGAGACGAGAGAGCGAGAAAAGAGAGAGAGAGAGCGAGAGAAGACTGATGAGAGAGAGAGAAGACGAGCGTTTAGAATCGTTCATTGGCCGATAGACGAGAGAGAGGAGAGAGAGAGAGAGAGAGCAGGTATGGCGACAAAAAGCGCGAGAGCGGGAGCGTAGATCGGTTGTTGTTGTGCAGCGGTGGGCGATGACGTGGCGGCTGGCTGGCATACCGCGGGCGGTGATTTCATCGCGCGTTTCAGAGTATGGGCCAGGCCACGTCACTGCGGGTCACACAACTTTACGGTAACATTTCAAGATTGACGCTGAATGTCATACAGGTAGACTTCTGCTTGTGAGCAGCACTGTATTGGAGAGT